TAAAAAAAAAAAAACGATAATTTGTTTAATTATTTTTAATTAACTTGAAAGGAACCTATGCATTTATCAAAAAATTACATAACAGAAACAAATAACAGAAAATCCTCGTCAGAGCTGTTCATCTTAAAGCGTTTAAATTTGATGAGAAAGTTTATAGATTTTTGCATATAAATAGAGAACAAATCTGATGGGTTAAAGTTAATTTATAATTGGTGTTTGTATAGATGTTGGCTGATATAGAAATAGAGGAAAAATTTGTCATCATGTGTCAAAGTCGACAGGTGCACTTATTGTTGCTTGACAATTATAATTACTTTTCGGCACTCAGTGCGGATAAGGCCTGTATCCGCACTGAGTGCGGAAAAGTGTAACTTTGAGCACCAAAATGCGTGCGGAAAAGTACTACTTTGCGCACGCTCGTAGGAAAAATATTTTTTACTATAGGGGACTACTAGCTTTCATAAATCTAGCAATCCCTTAGTTTTTTTTTTTATTTTCTCAAAAACTAGAGGAGCACCTAATTTTTAATTAGAGGCCCTAATTAGCACCTAATTATTATATAGATCCCGAAGTTTTTTTGCCATTTTGACACACCAACACGTAAACGTAAAGCCAGTAGTCGCCTAATAATTTTAAAAAAGTCTGTAACTCGGTTAATAATTATTCAATTCTATTTTTTCTTCGACTATTTAGGAGCACCTAAAAAGCACCTAATTCTGATACAAAAGAAATTTTTGGAAAAATATTTTTCACTATAGGGGACTACTAGCTTTCATAAACCTAGCAATCCCTTAGTTTTTTAAGATTTTCTTAAAAACTAGAGGAGCACCTAATTTTTAATTAAAGGCCCTAATTAGCACCTAAAAAGCACCTAACTATTATATAGATCCCGAAGTTTTTTTGCAATTCTGACACACCAACATGTAAACGTGAACCCTAATAATTAAAAAAAATCTGTAACTCAGTTAATAATTAATCAATTCAATTTTTTCTTCGACTATTTTGAAGCACCTAAAAAGCACCTAATTCTAATACAAAGAAAAAAATTTAAAAAATATTTTCTACTATAGGGGAATGCTGGCTTTTATAAACCTAGCAATCCCTTAGTTTTTTTTTGATTTTCTCAAAAACTAAAGGAGCACCTAATTTTTAATTAGAGGCCCTAATTAGCACCTAAAAAGCACCTAATTATTATATAGTTCCCGAAGTTTTTTTCCACCTTGGGACTGCTAGGTTTATAGACCTGACCAGGAGGCGAACCACAAACAATCGCTATCGATAAGTTATCGACAATTTCCCCACACTTCTCTCCTCGTCCATCCATCGCTCAACGTTAGTCGCCAAAATTGCGCGTGGTGGCAAATTGTCGAGAACTTATCGATAGCGATTGTTTATGGTTCGCCTCCAGATCTATCAACTATTTATACCTACAACAAAATCGGTGTGAGTGTGGACAACCATGAAAATAAAAGTTGCTAACTTTTGGAAGTGTTGCAAATACAGAAGTTGTCAATTTTTCAGTGGAAACGTGTTTATATAAGAGAAAATACTGTTTATTTTGGTCTTAACTTTAACAATTAGGCAACCGGAATTGGCTTGGAATCCACATTGATTCTGCTTTGAGCTGGGAGCAACACATTACAGGCCTTCAATGCAGACTGAATAGCGCATGTGCCTTGATACGCAGACTTCAAGACATCATGTCTTTTAACTGTATTAAACTATTCTACTTTGCTTATGTGCAGTCTCAGATAAATTATGGAATCGCTATTTGGGGAGCATCCAGATTCTCTGATGAGATTTTTAAAACTCAAAAAAGAATAATTAGATGTATGCTACATCTTCATCCCCGAACTTCTTGTAGGCCTTTCTTTGAGGGCTTGAATGTGCTTACTGTGCCTGGACTGTATTTTGTCGCACTGGTAACTTTTGTTCAAAAAAATCAACACCTTTTTGCAATCAATCAAGATGTCAATAATATCAGTATACTTACTAGAGGACCGGTGTGAAGTTAGCACGCCGGCTCCAGCACGCCAAAGAATAAAGTGAGCACGCCATTAGAGCACGCCAAAGTGTAAAAAGTTAGCACGCCGCTCGAGCACGTCAAAAAGTAAAGTTAGCACGCCGCTCAAGCATGCCAAAGTGTGAGTTGGCACGCCATTCTAGCACTATTATATACTCCACAGTTAAACGAGTCGGTTTGCAAAATATGGTGTGTGGTCTCTAAGTGCCACTCCACAGTATTCATTTTTTTAAACTTAAGAATTCTTTGAAATTATTTTTCCATATAAGCGCTGATTTTCCTAAGTTCGACGGCTTGTAAGGAATTTTCCTTTTGAGGGATGATAAAGCATCCCTTGAGCAAGCATCCCTCCAAATTTGAACGTGAAACACCATCTAGGAGTCTAAAGAAAAAATAAGAAAATATGAAATTTTCATTATTTTTCCATATAAGCGCTGATTTTCCTAAGTTCGACGGCTTGTAAGGAATTTTCCTTTTGAGGGATGATAAAGCATCCCTTGAGCAAGCATCCCTCCAAATTTGAACGTGAAACACCATCTAGGAGTCTAAAGAAAAAATAAGAAAATATGAAATTTTCATTATTTTTCCATATAAGCGCTGATTTTCCTAAGTTCGACGGCTTGTAAGGAATTTTCCTTTTGAGGGATGATAAAGCATCCCTTGAGCAAGCATCCCTCCAAATTTGAACGTGAAACACCATCTAGGAGTCTAAAGAAAAAATAAGAAAATATGAAATTTTCATTATTTTTCCATATAAGCGCTGATTTTCCTAAGTTCGACGGCTTGTAAGGAATTTTCCTTTTGAGGGAAGATAAAGCATCCCTTGAGCAAGCATCCCTCCAAATTTGAACGTGAAACACCATCTAGGAGTCTGAAGAAAAGATAGGAAAATATGAAATTTTCATTATTTTTCCATATAAGCGCTGATTTTCCTAAGTTCGACGGCTTGTAAGGAATTTTCCTTTTGAGGGATGATAAAGCATCCCTTGAGCAAGCATCCCTCCAAATTTGAACGTGAAACACCATCTAGGAGTCTAAAGAAAAAATAAGAAAATATGAAATTTTCATTATTTTTCCATATAAGCGCTGATTTTCCTAAGTTCGACGGCTTGTAAGGAATTTTCCTTTTGAGGGATGATAAAGCATCCCTTGAGCAAGCATCCCTCCAAATTTGAACGTGAAACACCATCTAGGAGTCTAAATAAAAAATAAGAAAATATGAAATTTTCATTATTTTTCCATATAAGCGCTGATTTTCCTAAGTTCGACGGCTTGTAAGGAATTTTCCTTTTGAGGGATGATAAAGCATCCCTTGAGCAAGCATCCCTCCAAATTTGAACGTGAAACACCATCTAGGAGTCTAAAGAAAAAATAAGAAAATATGAAATTTTCATTATTTTTCCATATAAGCGCTGATTTTCCTAAGTTCGACGGCTTGTAAGGAATTTTCCTTTTGAGGGATGATAAAGCATCCCTTGAGCAAGCATCCCTCCAAATTTGAACGTGAAACACCATCTAGGAGTCTAAATAAAAAATAAGAAAATATGAAATTTTCATTATTTTTCCATATAAGCGCTGATTTTCCTAAGTTCGACGGCTTGTAAGGAATTTTCCTTTTGAGGGATGATAAAGCATCCCTTGAGCAAGCATCCCTCCAAATTTGAACGTGAAACACCATCTAGGAGTCTAAAGAAAAAATAAGAAAATATGAAATTTTCATTATTTTTCCATATAAGCGCTGATTTTCCTAAGTTCGACGGCTTGTAAGGAATTTTCCTTTCGAGGGATGATAAAGCATCCCTTGAGCAAGCATCCCTCCAAATTTGAACGTGAAACACCATCTAGGAGTCTAAAGAAAAAATAAGAAAATATGAAATTTTCATTATTTTTCCATATAAGCGCTGATTTTCCTAAGTTCGACGGCTTGTAAGGAATTTTCCTTTCGAGGGATGATAAAGCATCCCTTGAGCAAGCATCCCTCCAAATTTGAACGTGAAACACCATCTAGGAGTCTGAAGAAAAAATAGGAAAATATGAAATTTTCATTATTTTTCCATATAAGCGCTGATTTTCCTAAGTTCGACGGCTTGTAAGGAATTTTCCTTTTGAGGGATGATAAAGCATCCCTTGAGCAAGCATCCCTCCAAATTTGAACGTGAAACACCATTTTTTAAACTTTTTACTTTGGCGTGCTGGAGCGGCGTGCTAACTTCACACCGGTTACTAGAGGTAGGGATGAACTTCGCATTCCCACACATCGCTCCACATTTTTTGAAAGAGGCCCTTATTATTGGGGTATCAAAGCCTACAGACTCCTGCCTGCTGATATAAGGAATATGGAGGACATTGGGAGATTCAAAACGGCGGTCTTACAGTTTGCGAGAGATAAATGTTTTTATTCTTCTAATTTTTAGACTATTGTATCTTTGATCTTTTACCAATTTATGTTTATTATAATTAAGTTTTTTTTTTCTTTTTTTTACTAGTTTTTATCTTTATGTAAAATTTTGTTTTTTACTTTTTAAATTGTGATGTTAGTATAATTGACGTCCTTTTTTTGTATGTGTGTTTGGATGCTTTTGCACTCAACACAAAAATTTTGTGACGTTGCTTTTTCATGTACTTGATTTCGTTGGCAAGAAGGAAATAAATAAATAAATAAAGTGATGTCTAATCATCAAGGAAATCAGGTAATCAATTGGGAATGATATAGGAATCCCCAGAAAAAACGGAAATCATCTGACAATCATACAAAAATATCTGAAAGTCATTGGCAATCTGTCGGAATCCTTGGGATGGGAATACATGGGATTTATTGATCAGTGATTGCCAAGTATGGAAATCATTGTACAATTTGTAAGGATAGTGATTGACCTTTCTATTATGACTATTTAAATCCTTGAGGCAAACACTGACAAACCCATTTCCATCTTCGAAGATTCAAAACAGCTTTTTTTTTTACTGACAATTCTTTCAGGAACAAGAAATTAAGAAACTAGCAAAAGAAGGCAACAATGAAGGCTGCAGAATCATGGCCAAACAACTGGTGCAACTGCGCAAACAAAAAACCAGATCGTACGCGGCCAGCAGCAAAGTTACTGGTGTCCAATTCCAAAATAAAGCGATGGGGGCCAACGTAAAATTGGCAGAGTCCATGGGGGTGGCTGGCAAAACTATGTCGGACATGAATAAGTTGATGAAACCTGAACAGATTGCTGCTACTGTTAATGCTTTCACTAGAGAGAATATGAAGATGGAGATGACAGATGAAATGAGTAAGAATGAACAGGTTTATAGAGAATTTAATTGACTTTGATTAGAGTTTAATTGCATTGAAATTGGATGAAAATTAACGGAACTGTGAGGCAAAAACTGTCTCTGTGTCATTTTTGGAAAATTTTTAATAAATTTCCAACTCTGAAGAATGTGTCATTTTGCATTTTAATATTTTTTGGAAAAATTATGAAACTTTTTGGATAGAAAGACGATAATTAGGAGCTTATATAATTTTATTTTCACAGTTAATGATACTCTGGATGATATGCTAACAGAATCAGGAGATGAAGAAGAAAGCGACCAAATTGTTAATCAAGTCTTGGACGAAATTGGTATTGAAATGAGTGGCAAAGTAAGTTTGCACTTAAACGTTTTCACAAATTTACTGCAAATTATTTATTCCATTAGATATCTGGAGCTCCACTGCCAGAAACTGGAAAAATTGGAGATAAATCCAAAGCCAAAGGGCTCACAGACGATGAAATTGAAGCACAACTTGCTAAACTAAGAGGATAATGTGATAATAAAGCACCTTTTTTTATTACTTATTTTATATTCAGATTTTTCTCTTGGTAGGAACCATATGGCTTTGTTAAACAAAAAATGAATCCAACTTAACAAATTTAAATATAAATAATCTTACTGTATGTATTAAGTAGGTAGTTGAATATTTTGTTGCTATAATTATTAAATAAAAATTATTTTGACTAAATATGTATGTACATTTTGATTTATTTATTGTGAAAGTTTTCTCCTAAATCCTAAATATTGTACATAAAAAAAACATTTATACTAATCCTAAACCTACTTACCAAGGGGTAAACCACTAGTGAAAATCATTGTAAATTTTTTTTGGGAATAATCACATAGTGATCAAGATTCAGATGAACATCCTAGTGAATACAAAAATATCAAGGAAATCAGGTAATCAATTGGGAATGATATAGGAATCCCCAGAAAAAACGGAAATCATCTGACAATCATACAAAAATATCTGAAACTCATTGACAATCAGTCGCAATTCTTGGGATGGAAATACATGAGATTCATTTATCAGTGATTGCCAAATATGGAAATCATTGTACCGTGCATTCAATTTATCTTGATAACATTTTATTTCGCTGTAACTTTTTTGTTTTTGAAGGTATCAAGGTAAACAAAAAAACTAAATATAGGGTTGGTAGCCAAGTTTTTTTTCAAGGTACCTATAAAACAAAACACTATCATTTTTATGACATATGAGCCTACATTATATTTTTTCAAATGGAACACCCTGTATATTATATATGGGTTTGATAGAATATCTTATTTCGATTACAATGATATAACACACTTTATATTTCAGTCCACTCGTTTTTGACAAATCGGCAAAAATATGAAATTTTTATATGCACTATCAATGATTCTTTCCCCAAATATCAGATCGCCGCCTAATAAGTTTCACTTCAAAAGTTTCCTATATTTTTGCCAATGTGTCAAAAACGAGTGGACTAAAATATGGATTGTGTTATATTATTGTAATCGGAATAAAATATTCTATCAAACACATATATAATATACAGGGTACTCCATTTAAAAAAATATAATGTTGGCTCATATGTCAGAAAATTGATAGTGTTTTGTTTTATAGGTAACTTGAAAAAAAACTTGGCTACTAACCCTACATTTTGTTTTTTTGTTTACCTTGATACCTTCAAAAACAAAAAAGTTACAGCGAATTAAAATGTTATCAAGATAAATTGAACGCACGGTACATTTATAAGCATAGTGGTGTACCCCTCGCCTACTACAAACTATGTAGGATGACAAAAAAATTAGCTAAAACCAAATTTAAACTTTCATTTACAAAACGTAATGAAACTATACAGGGTGATTTACGTTCATTAGCTTGCAGGTGGATTAGATGCTATCTCTACTAATCCACCTGCAATCCAATTGAACTCTAATGCACAGGCTATGTCAATCACGGTGTATATCAAGAGCATAGATTTTTGAGTTTCGTGTTTTCGGAAAAGGTCTGGACATTTCAGAGAGTAGAAAATCTATAAAACCCACCATACATGGATATCCGCTGAGATCCAGGTATTCAGTACCCAAAGCTGGAAATTCTAATAAACAACTGAGTAAACAACGTAAGCAGTCAGTAACACAAAAATGTGAAGCTGGATCATCATATGAGCCAATTAATTACAAATGGGGGAAGCAAATCAAAAAAATCCAAAATTCCCAAGAAGAATCAAACTTTTATCAAATAATAATTGTGCAACTGAAGCGCCTGCGAGGATATTGTATGATGAAGATGCTTTCTTCAATTTTCCATTGTTTGAGTGTATGTTTGAATAGAACCAATAAATATTTAAAAAAAAATACAGAAAGTTCAAAATAATATGGTATATACAGAGATCCAATAAGCTGCTAAAAAATATATCACATCTAATTAAATTTCAATATGTATAATTATAAAATCTATCAAAAATATAATTAAAGTCTTAAATTCACATTTTCTAATGTGCTATACCTGAATCTGGTGTCTCTTGTCTACTGTAGCTTCTCAGTTGATACTTTTTATTCTGAGAATCAAATAATTTGCTGTGATATTCATCACTATTATCTATTTGAGAATAAGTCAATTTGCCTTTACAGTAAGGACTATTTTTTGTGTCTTCATTCACAAAATTGATAGAAGGAGTTTTAGTTCTGCCAAACTTTTTCATTGATGTTAATATATCAGCATTTTGCTGAGTGATTTTGTTTAAAATAACTAAATTTTTCTCAAAAATATCTTGATATGTTAACCCAATATACAACACAAGCATTGCACCAATAAACATAAACCCATACCGCGAATACCAAACAAAACTATACAAATTACTATACAAATTATGAGTTTCAAATTCTTCAGAGTATTTAGTGTAAAACGAGCAAATAAGCCTTTCAATAATCATGTTTAGAAATAACAGGAAAAATAATGGCAATCTTGCTGGCAAGGTTCTTTGTGACGAAGTTATTATCAGAATAACAAACAAAGCAAAAATATTGAATAATATTGAATCAATCCACGATACTTCACCGACAATCCAAGTTTGAAGGCTCGTTACACTTTGAGTCAAAACCTAAAGAAAATTCATTAGCATTGAATCTTGATTATTCCTATTCCTACCTTTAAAATATCTTGATGTGCTTTAGTAGAAACATAAACATCTTCTAGCACCTTTTCCAAAAACCTCCCCTGTTCAACCATTTTCTGCTGCAGCTCAAAACTCTCCTTTTGCGTTTTGATTAAATCCTGATGAAACTCAGCTGCAAGGGAAGCTGAAAGCTCCAACTGTTTACCAACATTCAATGTGTTTTCTGCAATAGTTTCATGCCAGATTTGCCCTCTCAAAAACCAGCAAATATTTTGCGTGTGAGTGTAAAATTCTGTGTAGACATTGAATGCTCTATCTGACATGCTGTTGATGCAAATGCCTCGTAGATTGGGTTTTTTGTCTAGTTCACAATTGTATGTTTCGTGGCCAGACATTTCCAGGAAACAATTTGTGATGGTCAAGGCAATGTCGCTTTGAGTTGTTTCTGATAAGTAGCGGCAACCTTCGTTTAGGTGTTGAAGGGCTGTTTTCCAACAAGGACCGTATTTTGGGAGGGTGCCTCTTTCTTTTATTATCTGATATATAGGTTTGTGAATTAGAATATATAGTAATTTTATATAAGAAGGCATGTTTCATAATAGAGAAATTACATTTTTACGAAAATTATAATAAGGGGTTTAGGGAAAAACTTACCTCGTACTGAGCTCTTCCCTGTTGGACCATTTCTTTATTTCCATCACCATAAACGTAAATGAAATCTTCAAAGGCCAACGAATACACTATAAAATAAGGTAAAATTGTAGGTAATATTCGGAATCCCATTTTTTATCAGAAATTTTTTGATAAAATTCCAAAATTCAAAATTGTTTATGTTTTGGAAGCATGAGAATAAGTTTGACAGTTTTGACATTGTTAACCGTTATAAAAATCAACTACCAACGATTATCAATAAGATTTTTTGTCCTTTTTTAAAACCATTCAACAGAAAGAAGCAAAAGATGCTCAATTACAGATTTCTTTGTGCCATGCCCATACAGTATAGCAGTAAAAAAATAGATGGCACCACTAGTGTAGTTTAATCTTTATCTAATATTTCTTAATTTTTCCCGCTCAATGCTCAATTTTTGTCTATTCCCGGCTCTCGAATTTCTCGAAAAAAAAAAAATATGGGGTAGAAATCATCGTTTTAGTAAATTTTAGACCTTATGATTTAGATTTTGTCATAACTTTTTTCCTATTAAAGATAGAGCTGAAATTTTTAGTGATTTTTATTCCAGGAGAGGACTACAATCCCTGAAAATTTCAACTCATTTGGACTTACAGTTCCAAAAATAAAATCGTGTTAAGCAATTTGGGGTGATTTATCAATTTTTTAATTTTTCTGAGTGCGTTTTTTCATAGAATCCGGCTTCAAATCCGAGAATAAATTAATGTATGGAGTTCGGGGGATCCCGAAGGACTAATAGGACAGAAAATCTCAACAAAAAAATTTGAAATTTCCTCCATTTAGTAAGAAGGTACCTACCTACCTTATGATTTAGATTTTGGAAAACTTTCACTTTGGAAGGCCATAACTTTTTTTGCATTAAAGATAGAAAGCTGAAATTTTCCGGGATTCTTATCCCAGAGGAGGACTACAGTCCCTGGAAATCTCAGCTCATTTGGACATACAGTTCCAGAAATAAAATCGTCTTAAGCAATTTGGGGTGATTTATCAGTTTTTCAATTTTGTCGAGTGCCTTTTTCTATAGAATAATTTAGTGTATGAAGTTCATGGGATTCCAAACGACCATAAGGACACAAAATCTCACAAAAAAAAAAAAAAATTGAAACTTCATCGTTTTAGTAAGAAGCTACCTTGTAAAGGAATGAAGCACATAGTATCTTCTTCAGTTGAATACTGAATTCTTCTTGAAAGTTATTCGAGTACATTTTTACGGTAGTTGGGCATGGTCATGGTACTATAGGTAGGTACCTATTATTGAAGAGGTATAGAGACATAAGGTAGATTGGTATTGATCATTATTGTAATTTTCAGTCACATTATAGTACTTATAGTGACAATGATTACTGAATATTTCGATGCTTCTTATAAATGGATGGAGGATTTTTTGAGAAACTAGCTGATTAGATTACGAGCAACAACTGAATAGTACAAGGAAAGATATTATAGGTAGCTATATCTAGTGCGGATGGTAACTAGAGATAGATGTCAGAACTTGATAAGTAATAAGTAATATACAGGGTGTCTCTAGAGGTTTGTTACAAACTTCTAGGGATGGCAGATCTCGTAAAAATAAAGCAATTTTCTTAATAAACATGTGTCCGGAAATGCTTGGTTTTCCAGATATACAGGGTGTAAAACTTTGTAAAAAAAATCAATTTTTATATTAATTCTCAGAATTGCGTGCGTTTTTTAAAAAAAGTTATTTGTTTATTTTTAAGCAACAAATAGCCTGGTAAAATTTCAGGTAATTCTGTGGCAATTTATTTTTTATTTATGGAGGTCAGTGCCGTTTGTGGTTAGCCTGAAATGGTTTTTAAATTGTATCTCGAAAACTAAGCAGCATACGGAAAAAAACGAAGAGACAAAAAAGTTGTATCTTTAAGTTTTCTATCTACTGGACGATGTTTTTCGTGCAAAAAACCATCCGACAAAACCTGTGGCACGTCCCTGGAATTACTGTGGCACGTCCCTGGGAATTACAGTCCAAAAGGTACCTCATAAAGGTGTCAACAAACTATGAATATTTCATTTAATTCGTCCAACGTATTTCTAAGAATAAATAAAAAAAATGGCTTTTTTTACAAAGTTTTACACCCTGTGTATCTGGAAAACGAAGCATTTCCGAACACATGTTTATCAAGAAAAAAGCTTTATTTTTACATTTTTACGAGATCCACCATCTCTAGAAGTTTGTAACAAACCTTTCGTAACACCCGTATTTACAGGTCCATTCTGTGCAGATCTCTAGGCAAATTTGTATTTTCGATAAGCCTATATAGACAATTTAGAATTATGCGCTTTCTGTAGCTTACAGAAAATCTTATATATCGATAGTCTTACAGTCTATTGCGTCACTGTAAATTAGACGTTTATAGAAAGTAGGTATTCCATTATTGCCATTTTTACGATTACGAAGTTACAGATGTATCGTAAATAAGCTATACATCCCCAAATTTATAAAAATTTTACGAGTGAACCCAGAATTGAACACTATCTTATACATGATGACAGGGTGTTAAAATGTTTAAAAATAAACTAGAAACTACCTATTGAAAATCCATATTTAGACGTGGATATACAAGATTTACACACAGGTTCAAAATTTACAAGAATTGTTAGCGTATCAAAATATTTTTCAAATCCAAATCCACAGTACAAACCTTATGGAGCAGCATTAGAGACGTTCCAAACAGGAAATATTTTTGTTTGAAAAAGATGAATTGCAAAACTATTTGAAGAAGAGGATTATCAAACATAGAAGCCTTATTGAAGATTTTAATAAATATTTTAAGAAGACTGTTCGGTAATGGAAGGAATGTGAAAAAAGAATTTGTTGGTTTATCAACTTTATACGCACGCACTTGAACAACACAATAGGTTAGAAATAATTATTGATACAAAACACATTTAATAATACATAAATTTGGCTTCTGCGGAGATTCACACACAAATCACCTTACCTAGAACTATTGATGATTATGAGATTATGCTGTCAAAGAAAGGTGTGTCTTTCACTGTATTTAATATTTAACCTATTGAAACATGTGATTCAATATGACAACATAGTTATAGGCTGATTGTTTATAATCTGGTCAAGCCAGCTTTAGTTTTTAGGGGAATATCAACTTAGGAGCTGCTAATAATCATTCAAATTTTTGATTATTATCGGCTCTTGATTGGCTCCAGGCCAGGAAAGTTTTCCAGTGGATCAAGAGCCGGTAATAGTTCAAATTTTGATTATCTGTGGCTCTTGATCCATTGAATAATTTTTCTTGAGCCAATAAGAAGCTGCAGCAGAAGAAATTTTGATAAATATCAACTTAAGAGCTGCTAATGATCATTCGAAACTTTGATTATTATCGGCTCTTGAGCTTTGAATACCCTTAGAAAGATTCTCTAGGGAATCCAGAGTTGATAAACGTTCAAATTTTGACTATTACCGGCTCTTGATTGGATCTAGGAAAGTTTTCCAGTGAATCAAGAGCCGGTGATAGTTCAAATTTTGATTATCTGTGGCTCCTCTCTCCATTGGATATTCTTTCTGGAGCAACTAGATACCGAATATCCATACTGAAAGCTGTGCTATGTCTGATAGACAAAATTAAAAGATCATGCAGTCTATGCTGATTTAAATAATTTTATTTACGACTAATGTATAATGTGCGTATTATATTTGTGATTTTGGCAGTATAATGACATATGTTATTCCTCCAGGGATTAATGACGAGTAGCGGGATTAATGGTCATTATTCCACAAAAGTGTCAGTGTCAAACGTGTAGTGCTTGTGGATTTGTATTGAAAATTATGAGACGGATGAAATTTGTTCATTGAAAATCACAAATAAATTAATTTGTCGTAAATAAAGTAGAGTATACTACTCGCAATAATGGCTATTATTCCCTTGGAATGTTACTCCCTCGCCGCTAACGCGGCTCAGTTCGTAATAATCCTCGGGAATAATAGCTATCATTATTGACTCGTGGTATAATCTACTATAATTTACTAAATGACCTTTCAGCGGTAGTAAAGTAAAGAAAATTCAAGATTCTGAAATAGAAAAAATATAGAATATTGTCAACTTGCTGCTTAGGAAAGGAGGACCCGGTATTCAACCTTATTAATTTAATTGCCGATTTGGTCGGATGTTTATTGCAATTCAGTAATAAATTGATATAAATTGCGCTGCAAGCCGCAGTCAAGGCAGACTTAAACCAGTGCAAGTACCTCTCGTTGGAAAAGCCCCTCTGGAATTAAGTCTCCCCAGTGCAAGTACCTCTCGTTGGGAACGCCCCTCTGGGTATCTTCAGCCTTATGGTTGTCCAGTGCAATTACCTCTCGTTGGGAACGCCCCTCTGGACAAGGCATAAGGGTGACGATAAACTAACCTACAGTTCCCCAAGCAGCATTGATGTGTGGCCCCCTTTAAGGACCCCAGTATACGAAGGGTCATGTATCTTATAGGGTTAGCGTACATGTAAGGTTATATTTTGGAAAATATATATCTATATATCTATATTTTTATATAACCTGAGCGAGTTTCTCTCCATCAACCCCCAAAGCTACAAACTCCCCATGTCACCCCCGTAAAGCGGGCAGTTGTGACAATATGAATGTCTTCTTCTTATCTACCAATGATTTTTCAGTTTTTCTATCTATACGTACCCGGTTCTTGAATTTTCGTTTTCTTCTAAATTTTTCTAAATAGAGAAAATTCAAGGCATTCTCAAATCCTCTTGAATTTTTTCTCTGTCTTGCTCAATTTTTCCAGCTCAAATTTTTATCTATTCTCGACTCTTGAATATTTTGTACCTAATAAAAAGAATTCAAGAGCCTGGAATAGGAACAACATGAATATCTTACCATTTTTTTCTCAAATTTTTTACTTTATTTCTCAATTCCCGCCTCTCGAATCTTCGTTTTCTTCTATTTTTCGCTAAGTATAGAGAACATTCAAGCAAGAGCTTCGAGTAGAAACAAAATTGATTTTTGTATGTTTTACTGTTGTAAACTCATCAGAATCTGTCAAAAACAAGCCCATCATTTCCACTCCCCTGGGTTCAGCGGCCGGATTATCTTTCAAAAAATTTACCTCACTTTTAATAAAAAGCTTCCTCAAAATGCAATCGGCTTTGGCCTTTCCAATTTTTTATTCACGCAAACCAAATTGCGTAAAGCCCCGCATTATTAAGGAAGAAAAATGGGCAGATTAA